CCTTCAGGAACCTTCTAGATACTCATTACGTGTTACCAGTGTCACATGACTTCCACTGTCGTAATATATCTTTTTACAAAATTTATATACTCATTTGTTAACATTCGTAGTATTGTTCAGTCAGTCGTACTAGTTTCATATTCCGGTTTGTTAATGTCATTCTATGGTTCATAGTTCAAACTAACTAGTTTGATATTTTGAGTTGTTCACTTTCATGGTATCAAGTAGTCACTATTTTTATATTTTGGTTTGTTAATGTTTCTGGTAAGATTCGGCCTTAGTAGTTTTATATTCATGTTTATATTTAGATATACAACCTATAAGTTAGCAGGTTAAGTTCTAATATAAGTTAGGATGAGCTTTACTAGGTATTTTATGTTCTGTTTGCTACCTACTGGTGTTTACTGGGGATTTCTCCTTACTTTTGGCTGTAGTTTGAGAAGAAACATTATTAAGAAATTAAATCAGTCACGTATGTAAACTATTAAAAACGATTAACTAGAATGAACCAGAGGTCTGTTGTTTCCATACTGTCACACAACCATTCTATGCTGTTATGAATGGTTTCATTGTGCAGTTCTTTTCAAGTTGGCAGTGTTTTATTTTTCCTCTGCTGTTTTAGATCTAAAAAAAAAGATCCAATTTGTTTCTTCCATCTTTCTACAGTTAACCAATACTGCAAGGAGTCTAGTGATTTTTTTACAGTTAACCAACACTGCGACATCACCATATGCATTAGGGAGGGATGATGGGTGTAGATAGTAGTATGCATTCCAAAGGGTAAGGCATTTGTATAGCCTAATTTTAGACAGCAGTGTTTGTGTGTGAATTTTATTTGTCTATAGTCACTTACAGTACTGGTACCTTCACATTGTTGAGTTTTAATGGCTGAATAACTTTTATCTACATGAATTCAGGCTTGTGTAAAAGCATTTAAACTGAATAGTGCTGTACAGTCTTACAGTGGCTAATAACCATAAGCTTTTAAGATAGACTCAGTACTTTCTGGCTACTTATGTAGGAATTTTTTATGGTTTTGTGTATTCAACCCTACCTTGTTTCTGTACTTTTTGGCATTGCCATCTCTACATTATACTTAATTTTTGCAAAATGTTTTTGTTACTTTATAAAATGGAACTTTCAGATCAACAATCAATGAAATTGAAAATCAAAGTCAAAGGGAAGTATTTTAATGTTTTTTCATAATGGTGTCGCACAACAAAAATTTCAAAAACTAAAAAATTATACTAATAATAAGTGATATTGTTTGACTTGTTTCATTCAGAATCTCTATACACTACTTAGAACTTTATACTGTTTTCATGAAACTTAATTAGATATTTCACTGTGAAAAAGTTAAAGATCAGAAGGATATCAATTATATTCTTTCAGTACAGAAAGAGAGAACATTTCAAGCAGGTAACCATCTATAATGAACAAATCAGAAATGCCTTGTGCTGTGCTTAGACAATCCAGCAATTGATAAAACTGGGCATTTAGAAGAAAAGCAGCTTAATGACTAACTGGGATAGAGTTTTAGCTCTGTTGCACCAACATTTTGATAAAGAGATGAGTTGTCATTCAAACCAAGTTCAGAACTTAAAAACAAAAATTTAAGATAATTTAACTGCTTTTGTAGATGACTTGCACTGTCTAACCATGGTAGCTGTAAGTTTCATGGATATCCTTGTATACAAGCTCTTTAAGGGTCACCTATCTGGTACCATATGGGTTTTTTTAATATAGCTGTACTCACACTAAATACTATTTCTGTGGCAACTAGGTTTGAAGTAGTCATATCAAGCCTTTTGCATGTGAGGAAGAAGCCTGCAATAGTAGTTTCAGTGGTACCAACTCAGCCAGAATATTTAAATGGCATATGAATTTCAATAATATGTAAGAGATATTCACATCTATGATTACAATATTGTACATTATCACAGGGTAAAGCAGATGGATTGTCTAACCAAATGGTGAATATCCAGATCCTGAAATACCTACAGCAGCAGTGACAACAACCATACACTTTATAATGATTTCCTAGTGGTTGTACTTCACAGATGACACATTAAAAGAGCTTTGGGAGGAGCTTTCGAAAGATCCTGATCTAGCTTGAGTATTACTTGTCATGCAACAACATGAAGGGTAAATGTTACACATTGAGGAGCATAGTCTTGGTTCCCATAACTTTATATAAGCAATTACAAATGTAGGAAGTATATTATGTTACAGAATAGTGATTTTAAAACTGTGATGCAGCTAGTGGTCCCCAGAGCTCTGAGGTAGGAGATACTTTGTATGATGCAAAAACTGGAAACCACTAGTGATGCCACTAAGTAAGACCAGTTTTGATTGAATTCTGGAGATGGGCAAATAGAAAATAAAGACTAGGCCATCATATAGTGCTGATTTGTAGTGAATGTCTTGAAAACAGACTTGAATCAAGCCATTTGCCTATACAATAGAAAATTATTTTACAGTTCAGAGTAAATAGAATGTTATGCAGCATATACTATCTATACAAACAGAGTGGCAATAAATTTTACTTTCTTTTTTGTCAGATTGAAAAACATTACAGTAAACCAGGAGTCTATCCACTGGAAGTGTTGCCTCTGTTTCCTGACTTTGAGGTTAGTATCAATAATAGCTTTGTTCAAGAGTCTATAAGTTATCCCTATTATCAATAGTAATTGCATTACCTAAATCAATAAGAAGTATTCATGGAATAATAATGATCTGTAGCCAGAAGAATGGAAAACTTCCCTTTTTTTAACCCTGATGCCTAAAGTTATTACAGAGGCAAAATAACGATATCGAGTTTTCAAAAATTGTAATTGATACTTTCAAATTATCTCCAAAATAAAATTATCAAGTTTTAAATTTTATTAACCTTTAAAGTTATAAAATTTTAAACCTATGCAAATGCAGCTTGTCAGTGGAAGAATCTTAGCCAAAAATCTAGTAAGTTTGTATTTGTTTAAAGCTATTTTTAGTTCATATAATTTGAAAATAGTGAATTTGATACGAGCAAGAACTTTAAAATGCAACTGTTAACATGTTTTGTTTTACAGTGTTCAAGTTTCTGAAACTAACAAAGTCACAAATACATCATTTGAAACCTAAGAATATTTACACTAGATTATAAAATTTCTTAATACATTTTGAGACATCTCAAAGTTAAACAGCGCTTTTGTCTTGTAAGTTATTAATTTTTTTTCTAGTATTTGTATACCATGGAAAGGTAATAAATTATCTTAACCCTTTCGAGACAGGTCATGGGTGAAATGCCGTGTCATCTCATTTGTTGATTGGCATTCAAAATTTTATTGATCTACTATTTCATGAATTTATGTCAG